TTTTTCTTGTTCTAGGTAGCAGTGCTGTTGTTGTTTGGACTTTGAGCAGTAGCCAGACATCTCCATCATACAGTCATGTCACCTGCTGGCCCGTAAGTGGAACCCCAAGAATGCAATCAAGCGTGTCAATTGATAAGGGCAAAGTGATAGAATGCATGTGGTTCATAAAGACGGATAAAACTTAAAAATACAAATTAAAATTGGATGAAAATATAATATTAATTACAATTGTTTATCTATCGATTGTTTTTCTTACAGGAAAAAAAGTACGACAATTCAGTAGTCTTAAACGATAATCAAGAAAACGGCAATTCAGTATTTTTCTTATTTGATTTCCAATTTTTCTTTTTTCCACTCCAATAATAATTGGTCTAACCATTTAAATGACCATCATTTCCCCAGAGAACAGCTAAACTCAATTATTATGGAATCAGTGGTATACCATATACTTCCAAGGAAAAAAATAATTTTCATCATGCAGAGGACTGACAACCCTATCAACAACCTTTCCATTTGCATGTCTTTTAGCAATAAATCACTCTCCTACTTCCCTAGGAAGCTCCTCTGCGGATGCTTACGATAACCGCTAAAGCTCATAATTCGTAAAATTCAATTTGAAAATTGTGTAGCCATCATAGCCTCCTCCAGTTTTGTATCACTTTATCACTAGCTTTTATAATATAAACAGTATGATGAAAAAAATGATATGAATTGTATGTCTCTGTTAGCGTTTCTCTTTCCCCTTTGACAGGAGTTTTCTTTGTTTCCTGCGCTGCATAAATATTAGTCTTTATGGTGACTCAGAAAACACATAAATGATACCATACTACTATGTGCCTTGGTAGCACTGCAGGGTTCTCGACAGCACATCCAGAGAGAGAGAGAGCTTGTACTGAGAGAGAAAAATGGACTCCAAACATATATTTGGAGGAGTTGTAGCAGCTTTCTTGTTCGGGTTTGTTGTCCTCTACAGTTCAAGAGGGAGAGAGAATATCAAAGCTTCAGAGAAAAATCGAAGCAAGAAAACTTTGAAAAGCTCTGGAAATGGAGTGTGCAGATCAAATTTTGCTGGAAATACTGATGTGATCATCGTAGGAGCTGGTGTTGCTGGTTCAGCTCTTGCTTATGCTCTCGCAAAGGTAATAACCTCTTTCACAATGGTAAAACAGTTAACTCTAAGTGCCTGATCTTGCTTATAATTCAAAGACCAAAACCTAGTAAGCAGAGCTATTGTTGTTCTGTGTGTGCTAAGCAACAGCAACCATGTCTTCTCCTACAACTGCAGGATGGATGGCGCGTGCAAGTTATTGAAAGAGACTTGACTGAGCCCGACAGAATTGTTGGTGAGCTCCTGCATGCTGGGGGCTGCATTAAATTGGCCGAGTTAGGTCTTCAAGGTGAAGAATTACTAGCTGTAGAAATTTTGTTGAACATACTTTCCGTTAATTAATCAACAACAACTCTTATTTATGTCCAACATTTTGTGTGGTAGCAGACTGTCTAGATGGGATTGATTCTCAGACAGTCCTCAGTTTCGCTGCTGTTCACAAAGATGGGAAAAGAACTGCAATTTCATATCCCGCCAATGCGAGTGGCAGAGGCTTTCACAATGGCCGCTTCATCCAGAAACTACGTGAAAAAGCCGCATCTCTTCCCAAGTATTTGTCCTTTCCCCTGAAACCAATAGGAACAGAGTAGCCTGCGAGTACTGAGTTCAATATAACCAACCATAGACTTGATCATTTATGTGTTTGTCAGTATCATTTCATGATGTGAAGATTTTTCTTTCTCATATTTCTTTGATCTTTGTCCAGCGTTAAACTTGATCAAGGAACTGTAACATCTCTTGTCGAAGAAAATGGAACTATCAAAGGTGTGCTATACAAAACAAAGGCAGGCCAGGAGTTAGCAGTTTCAGCTTCACTCACAATAGTATGTGATGGTTGTTTTTCAAATTTGCGACGCAATCTCTGCAATCCAAAGGTGAAAATCTTGCATTATGAGTAAATTTAGATGTAATTAATGAGAGAAGGCACTATAATTTTTTATTTTGTTGATAAGAATACAGACCAGTAGATATACCTTCTAGGTGAATCTCAAATAATAGTTTTATATTATTCTTTAAAATAGTTCTTTGAAAGCTTGAAACTGCTTAGGATCATGATTACTTTCGGCTTAATTATTATTAATATAATTAGTTAGAATGAGTTGTAAGTTTCAAACTTGTGATGTTTGGTTATTAAACTTTGCTATTATATCAAAGAATTAATTCAACCCAAAATTAGTTTAATAGTACTCTCTAACACATGGTCATTACATTTCTTGCAGATTGAAGTCCCATCTTACTTTGTTGGTTTGGTCCTGGAGAACTATAATCTTCCATATGCAAATCGTGCATACTTTATTTTGAAGGATACAATTGTCATAGCTTATCCTGTTAGCAGCAATGAAATTCGTTGTTTAGTTGATGTACCTGGCTCGAAACAACCACCTATTTCCAATGGCGAAATGGCAAGCTACTTGAAAACAGTGGTGGCACCTCAAGTATGTATAGTTGCTTGACATAATGTTACTGAATTGAAGCTTATTTTCATTAATTTATAGAGTACGCTTGATCGCGAATTTATTGTTAATAATATCAGAAAGCAAAATGTAAAATGTCTCATAATGCCGGTCTAAGGTGACATTTTAGCATATCTTTGCTAGTTCTTTTTATTCAATATATACATGTTGTTTGAACTAATGCAGAGATTTGCACATTTCAGATGCCACCTGAGCTATACAATGCTTTCATGTGTGCAATTGATAAGGGCAACATAAGAACAATGCCAAACAGAATCATGCCTGCGTCTCCCTATCCAACCCCTGGTGCGTTTATGATAGGGGATTCCTTGAATATGCGCCATGCCGTAACAGGAGGAGGAATGACTGTGGGACTTTCTGATGCTGTTCTACTGCGAGATCTTCTTAGGCCTCTGAATGATCTTAGTGATGGAGCTGCCATTTGCAAATATCTTGAATCCTTTTACATTCTGCGTAAGGTATCAGCTTTCGCATGCACAAGCTTATCTAATATTTCTTCTGCCAGTCTTCCTCGGAACAAACTCCGAACAGGAATTGCTTAAAGAAACTTCAAATTTCAAGCATTGCTATATTTCTATAGGTTGGGTAGATACTAATAACTTAATATTGGTCGCAGCCAACGGCATTTGCAATAAACACATTGGCAAGCACCCTACACACAGTATTCTCTTCATCGGATCATGATCCATCAAGGAAGGAAATGAAAGAAGCATTCTTCAATTATTTGAGCCTTGGAGGCGTGTTCTCAGAAGGACTGATGGCTCTTCTGTCTGGTCTAAACCCTGACCCGTTGAGCTTGGTTTTCCACTGCTTTGCCATGCTTGTCTATGCTGTTGGCGGCTTATTGCTTCCATTTCCTACACCAAAACGCATATGTATTGCGGCAAAACTAATTTTGGTCTGTATCTCCAGCTCTCATTACCCTTACTATCAGACATTTGTTTGAACTATTATTCTCACCATGAGTTTCCTAGAGAAACTTAAATTTTTATTTTTATTTTTGTCATCTTTCAGGTTGGATCAGGCATCATCTTCCCTATACTAAAGGCAGAAGGAATTAGAGCAACATTCCTCCCGGCAACAATGCCTGCTTACTACAGAACTCCTCCTGTCCAATCCACTGATGATAGAGAAACAGGGTAATAGTTGGTTATTCTTTAATCAAACAAGAAACAAATTATAAAACCTGCAGTATTTTAAGATATAGCTAGTTGTTTTGCATTTTTTTTCTTCTTATAATATAGCAGTACCGTCGTTGTTCGAATTCCCTGTAAGCTTTTGAATTCCCGCTAACCATCTTTTGACTATTTCTTTTTTTTTTTTTGCTTCAAAAGAAAAGGGTCCATAAGTCTAATCATGACAGATTCCATTTTTTGCTTCCATTTTCCAAAGAGGAAAGGGTGCAGAAAGCGATCACTAACTTAACCTGTATAAAACAAAACAACCGAACCATGAAATAGCCAGCTACCCTTCCACACAAAGCTTGCATAACATAATCTGCTTGACATGTACTGGAATGAAACTTAAAACCAACTCAGAAATAATACAATTATTTCATATTAATCAACGTCAATCAGATGTAAATTACATGTTAGTTAGCGTAAAGACATGAGAAGAATCAATAGAAATGGAGACTTGTGCCACTTTACACACATAATTCTATTACCACATTCAATACCACCATGAATTAAAACAAGATGCATACCCGTAATTCAATAATATATCGTCATTTAACAAAGGGACTAAGGACGTCCTTAGCGTTAGGATTCTCCCACTCTACCACTGACTCCCACCATTCTTTCGGATATACTTCAATTTTTTTTAAGTGAAGGAGGGAGAAGACGAATTGGCAACTTTCTCAGCTTTTGACAATTGTCTATAATAATTTCTTTGATATTAGGATTCTAACATGTAAACCCGACAAAATAAAAGATAAGAGACAAGATAAAATAAGAAATGAAACACACAAGAATTTACGTGGTTCATCCAATTAGGCTACGTCCATAGACAAGTATAGAAGGATTTTACTAAGTAATGTGAGAATTACAACTTCTCTCGAATAATAGGAGAACAACTAAGAATCTCTCTATTATTAGGAGAAAACACCTCACTTACTCTATCACAAATACCTCACAATTTTATGGGATTACTCTCTCTTCACTCTCTTCTTCTTCTCTCTATTTTGGTGTGCATATAGGCTTAAATGCATTGCCTATTTATAGGCAAGAGTGAGGGTATAATGCTCATAAATTTAGGAGGAATATATGCCTAACAACTCATCTTCCACTCATATCAACTCATCCTCCACTAAAATCCCATTAATTATGCCACTTAATTACATGACTTTACATTCTCCCACTTGAAGACTTTGATGATTTAATCAAGTTTTCACACTTGATTATCTGTGATTCTTCTTCTATCCTTTCTATACTTGTCATCTTCATGTTGTTTACGTTTCTGTTAGGCCATAAGAGGATCTGCACCATATATACTTATTAGTGTTGACCAGTTTGGTCAAAGCATCTACTGGGTTTTCCTTTCTGTGAATCTTCTGAAAATCCACACTTCCATCTTCCACCACTTCGCGAACAAAGTGATACTGAACATTTATGTGTTTTGTTTTTGAATGAAATGCTGGATTCCTTGCAATATGCAAGGCACTTTGGCTATCACAATACACAAAAATATTCTCTTGTTTGTGCCCAAGCTTCTCCATAAGTTTCTTCATCCATATTGCTTCTTTACAAGCTTGTGTAGCTGCCATGTACTCAGCTTCTGTTGTGGACAAAGATACAACAGTCTGAAGTTTAGAAACCCAACTCACAACTCCTCCTGCAATTATGAACACATAGCCTGTAGTGGATTTTCTTTTCTCAAGGTCACCAGCAAAATCTGAGTCAACATAACCTTTGATCGTAAATTCTGATCCTCCATAACATAATGCAACATCTGAGGTATCCTTGATGTATCTTAAGATCCTCTTAATAGTATTCCAATGCTCTCTACCAGGATTTGCCATGTATCAACTAGCTGCTCCCATTGCTTGTGCAATGTCTGGTCTTGTACATATCATGACAAACATTAAACTTCCCACTGCTGATGCATACGGTACTCGAGACATCTCCATCCTCTCTACTTCATTGCTAGGAGACGTACTTGAGGATAATTTGAAATTAATAGGAAGTAAGGTGGAAATTGGCTTGTAATCTTGCATGTTGAAGCGTCACAAGATTTTCTTCAAATAATTCTTCTGAGAAAGCCAAATCTTCCTCTTACTTCTGTCTCGGTAAATTTGCATCCCTAAAATCTTATTTGCTGGTCCCAAGTCCTTCATATCAAACTCCCTAGCCAACTGTGCCTTCAATTCTTGGACTCGATCTTTGTCGAGGCCTATCACCAATATGTCATCCACGTACAACAACAAAATGATGAAATCTTCTTCAAACCTCTTGTAATACGTACAATGGTCTAAACTAAGTATGTTTTACCCAAGGCTAATTATGAAGGAATCAAATCTCTTGTACCAACACCTTGGTGCTTGCTTGAGACCGTATAGAGATTTGTTTAACCTGCAAACCAAGTTCTCCTTGCCTATTTCAGCAAAACCCTCTAGTTGGAGCATATAAATTTCTTCTTCAAGTTCTCCATGAAGAAATGCAGTTTTTACGTCTAACTGCTCCAAGTGAAGATCAAATATAACACACATTGTTAAGACTACTCTGATTGTCGTAAGTCGTACCACTGGAGAAAATATCTCATTGAAGTCTATTCCTTCTTTCTGAGCATATCCTTTCATCACTAATCTTGCACGATACCGCTCCACTTAATCATTGCCATCATGTTTTATCTTGTAAACCCATTTGTTGCCAATGGCCTTTCTTCCTTGTGGTAGCGGAACAAGATCCCAAGTATTATTCTTGTGTAGAGCTTCAATCTCCTCTTGCATTGTTGTCATCCACATAAATACATCTGTGCTTTTAATAGTCTCATGGAAAGTTGATGACTCTCCATCCTCTGTTAGAAGACAGTATGCAATGTTAATTTTAGTAACATATTCTGAGTGTCAAGCCGATGTTCTTCTTTCATGAGTCGATCGCCGAACTTCAAGAGTTTCAGACTCTATTTGTTCTTGCTCTTCATGCTCTGGTACAACTTTAGAAGAAGCATGATTTTGAGTATTTTCCACATGGACTGTTATAGTCTCTTTTATAATGCTATTATGCTCTTCCATTTGCATTTTACCTTCTGCAAATATGACATCTCTGCTGATAACTACCTTGTGGGCAGTGGGATCTCACAAGCGATACCCCTTCACTCCATCAGCATATCCCAAGAATACATATTTTCTGGATTTTGAATCCAGCTTGCTAACTTCTTGTGTATTGTACATCACGTACACAAGACTTCCAAATATATGCAATCGAGAATAATCAGCTGGTTTTCTGGTCCACATCTTCATCGGTGTCTTTAGCTCAATTCCAGTTGATGGAGATCGATTTATCACATAACAGGCGGTATTGACTGCTTCTGCCTAGAATGACTTTCCTAGACCTGCAGCCTTCAACATTGCTCTTGTTCTTTCTAATAGAGTTCTGTTTATTCGCTCTGCCACTCCATTTTGTTGTGGAGTGTATGCCGTTGTGAACTGCTTTTTGATACCTTCATGTTGACAGAAGTTATCAAATTCATCACTAGTATATTCTCCTCCATTGTCAGTCCTCAAACACTTGATCTTCTTTTTAGATTCAAGTTCCACCCGCGTTTTGAAAGTTTTAAAGACTGTAAGCACATCTACCTTCCTTCTAATTAGATACACCCAACATCTCCTGGAGAAGTCATCTATAAATGATACAAAGTATCTTGTTCCTCTCAAGGATACAACTGGTGCTTGCCAAACATCAGAGTGAATCAGGTCTAAGATGCATTTGCTCTTAGTTATTGATGTGTCAAACTTCAACCTGTGTTATTTACTTATAACACAGTGCTCACAAAAAGGTAAAGTAACCTTTATAAGCCTAGGGAGTAACTTCTGATCAGAGAGAACCTTTAAACCTTTCTCTGATATGTGACCTAGTTTTTAATGCCACATCATCGTCTTCTCTTCTACAGGACTGACTGATGCGATTGACACTTCTGCCTCATGATATGTTTCTCCCATTAATGCAAATATATTTGCAACTGTCTTTCTTGCCTTTAAAACCACCAGCGCTCCTTTGATGATTATCATGATTCCATTATCTGTTCGGATCTTACAACCAAGACTATCAAATTGTCCTATGGACAAAAGATTCTTTTTTAAGTCTTTCACATATCACACTTCTGAAATAATATGAATTAAGCCATCATATATCTTCAATTTGATGGTGCCAATACCAACAATCTCTAAAGCATGATTATCACCCATAAACACTTTGCCTCCAGAGATAGGTTTATATGTATGTAACCAATCTCGATGAGGAGTCATATGTCATGTTGCTCCTGAATCCATTAGCCAGACCTCAGTGAGCTCTTCTGTATCTGTAGAGATTGTCGCTGCTTCACTATATAAAACATCTCCATGTTCTAAGGTGCTCGCAGCACACCCTTGAGATTTTGATGACTCTGTAGTATTCTCTATACCCCTTTTAAACCAACAATCCTTTTTGAAGTGCCCCTTTTTGCCACAGTTGTAGCATTTCACAATCTTCTTACTTCTTGATTTGGACCTCCTTTGCCTTTGACTCCCACTGGAGCCACGCTCCGTTGATTTTCCTCTTGACACCAACAACGCCTCTGCTTGGTTTGAACTGTTTCTATCTCTTTTGTTTTTGCACCTATTTTCTTCTTCCAAGATAGCGGCTGCAACATAATCGAAGACTAAATAGTTCGAGAGGATATTATTGGTCAAGTTGATAATAAGCTGATCATATGAATCAGGAAGACTTTGAAATTGAAGCTCTGCACGTTTATTTTCCTCTATTTGATGACCCAATGTAGTGAGTTGTGAAAATAGAGTTCTTATTGTGTTGATGTGGTCAGTCACTAACGTGGTTTCTGCCATTCGAAGGGTATAAAGTCTCCGTTTTAAGAAAATCTTATTGTGTACAGACTTGGACTCGTATAACTTTGATAGAGTCTCCCATATCTCCTTAGCTATTTTCTTCTCCGCCACACTTGATAATACTTCATCGGCTAATGCTAAATGTATGTTAGCAATAACATTGCCATCCATCTCATTCCATTTTGCATCATCAGTGATCTCCGCGGGTCGATCCCTAATTGCTACCAAGC